CCTACATTCTACTTGGGAACATTTTGACCCATAAGATTTTCTGCTTTTAAAAAATGTATTTTTTTAATATACTGTGAGGAAACTAATTAGCAAAAAGAAGATATCGAGTCAGTAAATGCACAGCTTACAAATGATGCCTCAATAATTACTATTAAGAATATTTAGAGTATAATTCACAACACAGTACTACTAAAATCAATCTAATTTTAACAAAATACATCTAGAAATGAACAAACAGCAGACCGAGGAGTTAACACAGGTTGGAGATTTGAGTTCAAGTAAAAAATGCATTTGCGTTCATTATATCCAATAATCCTTTGATAAAATATTAATAAAAGTGTCTGGATCTCAATAAATGTCCAAGGGAATATATGAGCTCCAACTTCCTTTCAATATATGTTCCTTTTAATGGAAGATGTAACATGGAACTATTACAGGTTTCACCTTTTCACCTTTCCACAGTGAAATCAGGCAAAATAGGCTACTGAGGTACATACAAAAGATCCAAGTAAATAAGTTCCATCATTTTTGAAAAAAACGAAATATCACTGAGAGTGGTGTTATAGCAAATTAGAACCTCCCAACACATTTTCTTCCCTGGTGGCTCAGATGGTAAAGAATTCACCTGCAATGTGGGAGGCCTGGGTTGGGAAGATCCCCTGGAGAAGGGAATGATACCCACTCTAGTATTCTAGCCTGGAGAATCTCATGGACTATGGAGTCACAGAGCCCCTGGGATCCATGGGGTCGCAAAGAGGCAGACATGACCAAGCGACTTTCACTTTCACGCAACACGTTTTCTACAATTCTCGAATAATCTAACTGAAGGATAGATACCCTGATTTGTCACATTATCTGTGATATTTGGTTACACTGGCACAAGGATCTCATTTTTTCAAACCAAAAACTGGCATACAGAGGGACTATCTCCATACTTCTCAGGTATTCGTGTGTATCTAAGGGCACCAGATCCATGCTTTCAATGATTTTAAATAGAGACCATATTTTAGCTTACTAAAGCAAGCATCCTAGTTCGAAAACTAAACCAAGATAAAATTTAACACTCCTTTTCTAGATCATGAGCTCTATACACTGAGACCAGTATAAGCATATCTGTATGCAAGGGTGGATGATTTACCAAAGGCTGAGAAGGCAGGAGTATCAGAAGGCTCTCTGGGCCTGGATTACATAACCTGCCCCGTGTTGGTCTATCCCTGCGTTCCGGGACACCTTTTCTAAATCTCAAACAGACCAAGGTTGTTAGTCCCCTCAGACTTATACAGTTGCTGTTCTCTCTTCTTGCATATCTTTGCAGCGATGACTCAGATCTCAGTGCCAGTAAAACTTCCTCAGATAGGCCTTCACTGATGCTCAATGGAAAGTTACTCCCCACCCCTTTATACTGCCCTTCAGGGTCACATTCTACTGCACCACTCTATTATCAAAGCAATCACCATTATATTACTTTCGCATTTTTTGTACGTTCTACATCAGAATGTTAACTTCCAAACGAGCAGGCATCTTGGGACCTTGTTTGTCTGTTCATAACTGCATCCCCAGGGCCTAGGTTAAGACTTCACACATAATAGGTGAACAAATGAATGAACGAATGAACAGGTTTTTAAAAATCATTAAGACAATACCAAGTGTGATAAGGATGTAGAGTGGCCAGAACTCTCATACACTGATGGAGAGCGTATAAATTAGAAAGTGGAAAATTGACAGTATCTACTAAAACTGAACATGTGCATATCTTATGATCCAGTAGTTCCAACAAAATATATCCAACAGGAAAACAAACAAATCATCAAAAGGCACGAACCAGAATGGTTGTAGCACTATAAAACAGTGAAATTAAACCAACCATGACTGCACACATGAGGAAAATCTTACAAAATTAACAATGCGCTAAAGGAATCAGACACCAGAAGAATACATGCTATATTGATTCCATTTATACAAAGCTCAAAAGCAGGTACAAGTAACCTATGGTGCTAGAAGTCAGACTAAAAGGAAACCTCAGTGACTGAAAGGAAGCACAGTGAGGGAATGGGGTGCTTCTAGGATGTAGGTTACACAGGTATGTTTTCTTCAAAACAACTCACTGCACTGTACGCTTATGATGTGAATTTTCTATATGTAGATTATTTTTCCATGAAAAGTTCAAAAAATTAATCAGGAGTCCTTCTGAAGAGGCAGCACTTTCCTACCCTTGACCCAGCATTGCATCTCATCATCAGCAAAGAGGTTTCCCAACAGGAGTGATGAACAGAGTGGAAAGGCAGGCCAGATTTGGCCCAGCAAAGACTTTGGCTTCTAGGAGATACGCATTACAGGCTCTCAATGTCGAAGATACCAGAAATCTTGAACATACACACTGACCAGTTCAGGAGCCACACCCAAGAAAAACAGATAGGAGAGTTGCAGGGAAAAAAAAAAAAATAATGTCTGTGCTCAGTTACATCCAACTCTTTGCAACCCTATGAACTATAGTCCACCGGGCTCCTCTGTCCATGGGATTTTCTCAGCAAGAATACTGGAATGGGTTGCTATTTTCTCCTCCAGGGATCTTCCTGACCCAGGGATAGAACCCATGTCTCTGGATTCTTTACCACTAAGCCACAGGGAAGCCCTAAAAATAATGATAGCATATATTTTTTGATCCACCAAGACAGAGGGTAGAACCAAAACTCTAGCACTTCAAGATAGTAAGTTGTCCCAATGTTACACAGAATGGCACAGCCTTAATTCAAACCTTGAGCAGCTGGATTCCACTGACAGTGCTCTTAAGCGCTTCACCTTAGAACACCTTGTGTGAAAGTGAGTAATGTTAATACATGTCTAAGGGGAGGAGGCAATAGCAAACCACTCCAGTAATCTTGCCTGGAGAATCCCAGGACAGAGGAGCCAGGCGGGCCAGTCTATAGGGTCACAAAGAGTCACACACGACTGAAAATACAGGCACACAAGAGTTTGCTTCTGGTATGCCTATTACAATAAGCCAGGCTTCTTACCTGCTGACTGAGAGGTCAAATGGGTCTCAATTTCCTTACCCATAAAATGCAAGTAATAATAGAAACTTGCTTTTATTCAACCAATATTTACTTATTAATCATCCATTCTGTGCTGGGGGCATTATTCTACGATCACTGAGGATGAAGTGAGAAAATGCAAAACGGTCGATTTATTTCCTCACTCTCTTTTTTAAAAAAAAAAAATATTTATTTTTGGCTGCAGCATGCAGGATCTTAGTTCACCAATCACGGATCGAATCCGTGCTCCGTGCAGTAGAAGCACAGAGTCTTACCCACTGGACTGCCAGGAAAGTCCTTCCCCACTCCCTTAACCTCTTGCATTTATTTATAAGGAACAGTGGCTTTTTTTGTTTTTGTTTTTTTAATACTTTGATGAATGTTATGAAACACAATTCACACAAACTTCTGCTTTCAATTTCAAGGAACTCAGAAACCTTCTAAAGTTGCATATTGCCCTCTGTTACATTAAAAACTGTTGCAAAACGACTTGATAAACATGATTTCGCAACAGAAACCTTCAATGGCATTCACATGGACCCAAAACAGCAGGGAAGAGGGTACCACTTTTACAGACAACCCTAGTGGCTCAGACAGTAAAGCGGCTGCCTACAATGCAGGAGACCCGGGTTCGATCCCTGGGAGGGGAAGATCCCCTGGAGAAGGAAATGGCAACCCACTCCAGTACTCTTGCCTGGAAAATCCCATGGGAGAAGCCTGGTAGGCCACAGTCCATGGGGTCGAAAAGAGTCGGATACGACTGAGCAACTTCACTTCACTTCAAAATAGAAAACTACCCTATCTAATCATTGCAATTTGGCAGATAGCCCAAGATAAGAATCTTACATCTCATTTCTCTAAGTCCAGTGCTTTTTCCAATTGCCAGAAGAGAAGGCCCTTCTATTTCGGGGTTAGACTAGAGAAAGTAAAAGAGGTGCCACTGCAGTTAAGAACAGCTCGTCTAGGGGGAAGAAAAGATCAGAGTAGGAGCTCAGGCCCCCCTTAGTCACGAAAAGGGACTTAAGACTAGTCTCTTTTTCCCTCTGGGAGCAATAGCGACATCCATATCGAGTAATAACTTCTGCTGCTCCGCTTCCCTTTGGTGCTTGTTACACTACCCTGAAAGGAAGAAAGATGCGATTGCTTCCCACGGGCCATGTGGATATAAGGTTCATATGACTCAGGTCACTACTGAGAGTCTCAAGGAGCTGAGGACAGGAGTATTCACGCTTCTCCGCTGTTGGCTTCCGGTTTCCCACTGCAAAATCGCAATCCCCGGCAGAGGCAGAAAGCTGTTAGAAATCGCCATGTGGAAAGTAAGACGTTCCTAATGCGCTTAGAACAGTGCCTGTCATTTAACAGGCGTTTAGTACACATCTGCTGAATGGATTTATGGCTGAATGAGTCCGCAGAGAACAAATTCCACAGTCCCGCGGCTCAGGTCCCTCTCCAGCCCGGGACGCCACACTCACCGGGCGCCAAAGCTTGTTGGAGCTGGGTGCAAGCCCTCCGCTTTCCAGCGTCCCCGCTTCAGGAGCTCGTGGAGCTGCAGCAAATCTACCTGCCCCAGGGGAACTCCTCTTAGAGCTGCCAGCCGCGCACCAACGCCGAAACGGAAGCCTAGTTAGGAATGGAAAGAAGGTGGAGAAAAGGAAATTTCGCGCCAAACGCCGTAGCCCCGCCCCCCAGGGTGTCTCCACGTTCCGTCAGCAGCCAGCCCTTTCGCCCCGCCCATCTAAGGAGGGGACGCACGACGTACATCCGCCAACGTGCCGCGGCCATCATTGATTAGGTCTGCGAAGCCGTTTGCCGAAGAAAGTTCCTAACTCGAAAACATTTCCGGGTTCAAGATGGACGCGCGAACCGTTTAGTGAGACTTCCTCCAACCTTATCATTTCTCTCTGGTTTTTTAACCAGGATGTGACGTCTTAAAGGACCCGACGGAAATAGGACGTCAGACGTTCTAAAATGGCGAACCGTACGGTAAAAGATGCGCACAGCATCCACGGCACCAACCCTCAGTATCTGGTGGAGAAAATCATTCGGACGCGAATTTATGAGTCCAAATACTGGAAAGAGGAGTGCTTTGGACTTACAGGTGAGCAGAGCGTGCTGAACACCCCCCATCCCTGCCCCAACCCCTGTCGTCCCATGGCCCAGTTTTCCAGTCCAATGGGACTGGCCCACTGGCGGTGAGATTTAGGGGGAATTTTTCAGTCATTCAGAAGAATCTGAGCGCCTACTCTGTGCCTAGTGTTGTGTTGGGCTTTGGGAACACAGATCTGATAGGACCTTATTCGGAAGGGTACAGGTGGTTTCTTTGAGGCATTCCGTGTTTAATGATAACTTACTGGGTTCCAGTGTTAAACATGGGAACCCTGAAGGTCTTAAAGGAGCGTCAGTATTCCCGAAACCAAATTTATAATGTTACTACCCCCAAAGCTGGACCATTTGCAATATTTTCACATCCCAGTCCTAATATAAATATGTTCTTAAGAGAAATCTTGCAGGTCGTCTTTGATTCTTGTTTAATTCTGGCTTTTTTTTTTTTTTGTACCTGTGTTTCCCTAGTGAACCGTGAGTTCATCTTCTGTAAAACGAGCACAATAATACCCACATCAGAGGTCAAAGGATTAAATGATTTAATCCAAGAAATCTAAGGATTAAATGAAATAATGTATAAGAAGTGTTTGGTATAGTTACAGCTTGTCCAGTCGCTAAGTAGTGTCAGACTCTTGTGACCCCATGGGCCGTAGCCTGCTGGGCTCCTCTCTCCTCCACTGTCTGCTAGAGTTTGCTCAAATTCATGTCCATTGAGTCGGTGATGCTATATATATTTAGCTACAGCTATATATTAATAAAAGTACTCAGTAATCAGTGGTGGTAGTGGTGCTAGTTGTTACCACTGTCAATTACTCCTGTGCTGTTACTGCTCTTCCATCACCCTAGCTATGTGTCCACGGAGGAGTCATATTGTTTTTCTGAGTTGCCATTAAATTTAGAGTCAGGTAAGATTTACTTTGGGGGCCTTTTCTCATTCCAGAGGTGAAATGACTTGCTCTAGTTCACGAAACTGGTCTGATTTTGATGACAACATCGAAAGGTTATTATCCCTGTTGTCTAGATGAACTTTACTTAGAGTTATGTAGTTATTGAGGTTTGTTATGGTTTTCATCCTTCTAACTCTTATTTAATCTGGCAGTTTTTCCCCTAACATGATGGTGACAAGCACAGACTCTGAAGTTAGACTTGTTGGATGAAAATCCAGGCACTGCCACTTTCTGGCTGTGAATATTGAGCAAATCACTTAACGTTTCTTGGCCCTCATTTTCCTTAGCTGAAAACAAGGGCAGTGCTAGAACTTAACCTCATGACTTGTGAAGATTAAATAAGATAATATGAAATGCTTAGCAGAGTACTTGGCATATAGTAATCTTTCAGTGGCTGCTGTTATTTATTACACACTTGTTCTCCTAATATTAAGCTGTTAATTCAGGAACACCAAATCTTGAACTAACTTTAACTCTCTGCACTTTAAACCTGTAAAAACTTTAGTTCTAATATGTCTGCAATGCCTCTCTGTTTTTGTTTTTTAGCTGAACTTGTAGTTGATAAAGCCATGGAGTTAAGATTTGTGGGTGGTGTCTACGGTGGCAACATAAAGCCCACTCCTTTTTTGTGTTTAACCTTGAAGATGCTTCAGATTCAACCTGAGAAGGATATCATTGTAGAGTTTATAAAAAATGAAGATTTCAAGTGAGTGAAATATTTACTAGCTAATATAAATATTTTAATTTCGTGGTCCAGAATTTGGCTTTGGTTAAAAGAAGGGAAAGCAGCGTATCTCATTTCCAGAGTCCCACTCTGGTATTTTGTTCTTGAACCCCGTGAGTTTTTCTTTTGTCTGTTTTGATTGTATTGACCTTCTTCTTTACTTTCTGAGGCTTGGTGACTTTTCCTCCAAAACAGTATTTCACAAAACTCACTGACATATATTAAGCAGAAGTTAATGCCAAATATGTTGGTAGCACTGAATATTTAAGGATGAAGAAAACAACATAAAGTGTGGTAAAGAAGAGGGAAACATTTGTGTTAATTGTAGGTTCATGTCCAGACCCTATTACCTATGAACTGTGACCTTGGAGAAGTTACTTAATTTTCTAAATTTTACTTTCTTTACCTGTAAAATGGAAACAATGATACCAGCTCGGGATAGATGTGAGAATTAAGGAAGAAAGAGCTGTAAATCTCTATCGGTGCCTGTTGCATGGTATCTGGCCCCAGAATATAAGCTGCTTGAGGAGCTCACAGATAAGAACAGGAGACAGATGTAATAATAGATTATTATTTGCCACTCTCTATTCTAAGAAATTTACATGCAATAATTTATTTAACCTTCACAACAACCCTGTAAAATTATTATCCCCATTATGTAGGGGAGGAAACTAAGGCACAGAGAGATTGATTTCCCCAAGGTCAAATGCTGATAAGTGGCAAAACTGGTTTCAGAGTCCTTTTTTTTTTTTTTTTTTTTTTTGCCAATGTATTCTGTTTGTCATATAAGGAAATGAATTTCAGATGCCTGCTGTTTATTGAAATGGAGATTTGAGTAGGTAGTTGGGGTATAGGAGAAAGGGAAAATAAAGGAAACTTACAAATTAATGGCTAGAAAATAGCTAACTCTCATTAGGTACTTACGGTGTGCTATATACTTCGCTTAGCATCCTAACATTCATTTTTTACTTAATATACCAAACCATCAAATTAGGGACTATCATTTTACAAGGACTGAGAAAGCAAAAGTAAATTGCCTAGTGTTACAGAGTTAGTAAATAATGGAATCAAAATTTGAACCCAGATGACTGACTCTTTTCCATAACCAGCATTCTGCTTTCCAGCAACTAGCAATCTGTGTAAATTATATTGTTAGTAAATAAATCTCTACTTTCTGTTGTTAGTAAATAAATCTCTACTTTCTGTTGTTAAATTCAGTATCTCATTTGATTCTTAAAATAATCCCATGAGGTAAATAGGTTGTATCTTAGTTTTACAGATGATATAATAGACTCGGAAAGTTGAATATTAGATCCCAAGTCACTGCAGCCAGTAAGTGGTAGAATGAGAACTTGAACCCAGGTTTCCATATTTTAGCTATTTTTTCTGCTGCCCTATGCTGCCTCTAAAAATGTAGCTTTCTCATCTACCAAAGAGAAAAAAGAACTTGTTTATCCACTGCTGTCATGAGAAAAGCTACTTGTAAAGCTCAGGAACTTTTTGGAATGGCCTGTTGTTTCACTGTTGTCTGTCTGTCAGGTATGTCCGCATGCTGGGAGCACTTTACATGAGGTTGACAGGTACTGCAATTGATTGCTACAAGTACTTGGAGCCTCTGTACAATGACTATCGAAAAATCAAGAGCCAGAACCGAAATGGAGGTGAGTATGGTCCTGAGTATCTAGGCCTTCATCCCTGAGCCAGTTTTTATTTCACCAGTGTCTCTGGCATCACATAATCCAGATTGTTAGCATCTTCAGTCAGGTCCTCCATCTCTCGTGAGGAGTCATAATACTCCATTAACCTACCAGCTTCCTGTCAACCTCACCCAGTCTGCCCCTGTCTGCCTATCTTTCCAGCTGCATCTTATGTTAATCCCTGCTTTGGCATCATGTGCTTCATCCCGTAAGAGCTCTCTCTCGAATGACCTTTGCCTTAAAATCCTTCCCCAGACCTCCCAAAGTTAGTTTTCCATTTGCTGGACCTTCACAGTTCTTTCTACTGGCCTCTCTTACATGATACTTGACCCTGCAATACATGGACTGAGTGTGCTCATACTTATGTAGGAATCTTGCTAAAACATAAGTATATCCAGGAGGGGCAGCTCCATACCTTTTACAAAGAGACACATTTTATGATAAAATGGGATTCAGAGAATGCAATCAGAACTTCTTCTCACTCAGTGTCATAACAAAAGATTAGTAACATTGGCCTTTACCCTCTTAAATATCACATTAAGCAGTACAAGTTTAAGAATTTGGTATTATTCTTCAGACTTTTGTTAGCTTACTCATTCACTTGAATGAATACATACTAAGTGCCAGTGTTGCACTGGGTACTGTACTACATACCGGAAATAATGTGATGAACAAGATGGACATGGTCCTGGCCTGGAGATTACTTATTTATTTATGACTATATTATGCTAAACTAAGGTAGGGTTTTTAAACCTAGTGATGATTTGGGTCAGATATTTCTTTGTTATGGGGAGCTGTCCAGTGCATTGTAGAATGCTTAGCAGCATCCCTGGCTTCTACTCACTAAAGGCCATTAGCACCCCATAGTTGGAGGGGCAACACCCCTGGTTGAGAACCACTAAACTAAGGTAATGTTTACCATAGAAATTCTAAAAAGCTATTGCTCCACTTAACATGTAAGATACATGATTCTTAAAAATAGCAAATCACTATCACTTGGAACTAATACAACATCTTAAGTCAGGTTTGCATGTGTGCTCAGTTGCTAAGTCATGTCCAACTCTTTGTGACCCCCGTGGACTGTAGCCAACCAGGTTCCTCTGTCCATGGAATTTTCCAGGCAAGAATACTGGAATGTGTTGCCATTTCCTTCTCCAGCCCAGAGATAAAACTCACATCTCCTTTATTGGCAGTCAGATTCTTTATCACTGAGCCACTCAGGAAGCCTCAAGTCAATTATATATCCATTTAATAAAGTTTGCTGCCCCACGTAGGGGAAAAGATACATATTTTTAGGAACTTAGTAGGTTCACAGGAGATACTGTACTTGAGTTGTAAGTTTTATTCAAAAACATTACCCTTTTATAATTCAGGACTCATTGTGCTTGTTTTTGTGCTTGTCTTTCCTGCTAACTGGGACCGCTTCATTCATCCCATTATCCCTAGTTCCTAGATGAAGCATGGCACATAAACGGCCTCAATAAAGGGGAGTTGACTGGATGAAGATTGGTGGTGATGACAAGGCAGTGAAAGCTTGTAGGTTGAGCCCAGGTTTGACAGTAATCTATTCAGTGTTAATTGCCACACTGCAGCAGCTTTATTTATTTATTTTTTCCATTTATTTTTATTAGTTGGAGGCTAATTACTTTACAACATTGCAGTGGTTTTTGTCATACATTGAAATGAATTAGCCATGGATTTACATGTATTCCCCATCCCGGTCCCCCCTCCCACCTCCCTCTCCACCCGATCCCTCTGGGTCTTCCCAGTGCACCAGGCCTGAGCACTTGTCTCATGCACCCAACCTGGGCTGGTGATCTGTTTCACCCTAGATAATATACATGTTTCAATGCTGTTCTCTTGAAACATCCCACCCTCGCCTTCTCCCAGAGTCCACAAGTCTGTTCTATACATCTGAGTCTCTTTTTCTGTTTTGCATATAGGGTTATCGTTACCATCTTTCTAAATTCCATATATATGTGTTAGTATACTGTAATGGTCTTTATCTTTCTGGCTTACTTCACTCTGTATAATGGGCTCCAGTTTCATCCATCTCATTAGAACTGATTCAAATGAATTCTTTTTAATGGCTGAGTAATATTCCATGGTGTATATGTACCACAGCTTCCTCATCCATTCGTCTGCTGATGGGCATCTAGGTTGCTTCCGTGTCCTGGCTATTATAAACAGTGCTGCGATGAACATTGGGGTGCATGTGTCTCTTTCAGATCTGGTTTCCTCGGTGTGTATGCCCAGAAGTGGGATTGCTGGGTCATATGGCAGTTCTATTTCCAGCTTTTTAAGAAATCTCTACACTGTTTTCCATAGTGGCTGTACTAATTTGCATTCCCACCAACAGTGTAAGAGGGTTCCCTTTTCTCCCCACCCTCTCCAGCATTTATTGCTTGTAGACTTTTGGATAGCAGCCATCCTGACTGGCGTGTAATGGTACCTCATTGTGGTTTTGATTTGCATTTCTCTGATAATGAGTGATGTTGATCATCTTTTCATGTGTTTTTTTGCCATCTGTATGTCTTCCTTGGAGAAATGTCTGTTTAGTTCTTTGGCCCATTTTTTGATTGGGTCATTTATTTTTCTGGAGTTGAGCTGGAGGAGTTGCTTGTATATTTTTGAGATTAATCCTTTGTCTGTTGCTTCGTTTGCTATTATTTTCTCCCAATCTGAGGGCTGTCTTTTCACCTTGCTTATAGTTTCCTTTGTTGTGCAAAAGCTTTTAAGTTTCATTAGGTCCCATTTGTTTATTTTTGCTTTTGTTTCTAAAATTCTGGGATGTGGGTCATAGAGGATCCTGCTGTGATTTATGTCGGAGAGTGTTTTGCCTATGTTCTCTAGGAGTTTTATAGTTTCTGGGCTTACATTTAGATCTTTAATCCATTTTGAGTTTATTTTTGTGTATGGTGTTAGAAAGTGTTCTAGTTTCATTCTTTTACAGGTGGTTGACCAGTTTTCCCAGCACCACTTGTTAAAGAGGTGGTCTTTTTTCCATTGTATATCCTTGCCTCCTTTGTTGAAGATAAGGTGACCATAGGTTCGTGGATTTATCTCTGGGCTTTCTATTCTGTTGCATTGATCTATATTTCTGTCTTTGTGCCAGTACCATACTGTCTTGATGACTGTGGCTTTGTAGTATAGTCTGAAAGTCAGGCAGGTTGATTCCTCCAGTTCCATTCTTCTTTCTCAAGGTTACTTTGGCTATTCAAGGTTTTTTGTATTTCCATACAAATTGTGAAATTATTTGTTCTAGTTCTGTGAAAAATACCGTTGGTAGTTTGATAGGGATTGCATTGAATCTATAGATTGCTTTGGGTAGTATAGCCATTTTGACAATATTGATTCTTTCAATCCATGAACAAGGTATATTTCTCCATCTGTTTGTGTCCTCTTTGATTTCTTTCATCAGTGTTTTATAGTTTTCTATGTATAGGTCTTTTGTTTCTTTATGTAGATATACTCCTAAGTATTTTATTTTTGTTGCAGTGGTGAATGGTATTGTTTCCTTAATTTCTCTTTCTGTTTTCTCATTGTTAGTGTATAGGAATGCAAGAGATTTCTGTGTGTTAATTTTACATCCTGCAACTTTACTGTATTAGTTGATTAGCTCTAGTAATTTTCTGGTAGAGTCTAAAAATATGGAACGCTTCACAAATTTGCGTGTCATCCTTGCGCAGGGGCCATGCTAATCTTCTCTGTATCGTTCCAATTTTAGTATATGTGCTGCCGAAGCGAGCACTGCAGCAGCTTTATTAGTGCATGTGCAGGCAAAGGGAAGGGGCTTCCCTGGTGGCTTAGATGGTAAAGAATCCACCTGCAATGTGGGAGACTTTGGTTCTATCCCTGAGTCAGGAAGATCCCCTGGAGAAGGAAATGACAGCCCAGTCCAGTATTCTTGCCTGGAAAATCCCATGGACAGAGGAACCTGGTGGACTACCATCCATGGGGTCACAAAAGAGTCAGACATTCCCTTCTGAGGGAAGCTGCAGAGGATTCACACTTTCTATACCAAATACCCTGTTAGATATCGTACATAAAGACTCTTAAACTTTTTTTTAACTTTTTGGCTATTTAAACTTATTTCCAAGTTACTTAAGCTTACGGTTTTTCTTTCAGAGTTTGAGCTGATGCATGTAGATGAATTTATTGATGAACTACTGCACAGTGAGAGAGTCTGTGATATTATTCTGCCCCGGCTACAGGTAAGAGATAAAGGTCATACATACACAGCACACAATAAAATGTGTGTAAAGATCTCTTTATACACATACATTATGAAACACCATGGAACTCAAAGTCTTTTTTTAACTGAAGTGTAGTTGATGTACAGTATTATATGTTATAGGTATATCAGTATTGTGACTCACAATTTTTAAAGGTAGTACTCCATTTATAGTTATTATAAAACAGTGGCTCTGTACAATATATTGTAGCTTATTTGATTTCTAATGCTTTGTTCCTCTTAGTTCCCTCTCCCTTCCCCTCCTTACTGGTAATCATTAGTTTGTTCTCTATATCTGTGAGTCTGCTTCTTTGTTATGTTTACTAGTTTGTTACTGTTTTGAGACTCTATATATAAGTGATATCATACAGTATTTGTCTTTGTCTGATTTATTTCACTTAGAATAATATCCTCCAGTACTGTATAGCACAGGGAACTCTGCTCCATACTCTGTAATAACCTAAATAGGAAAAGAATTAGAAAAAGAATATTTTAATCTTTCCTCACTTAACATAGTTATTTTGGAATATATCCATGTTTTTGCATATACTAATAGTTTCTTATTTGTTGCTAAATAGGTATAATATTCTTCTGCATGGGTATGTATACCACAGTTTGTTTACCCAGTCATCTATTTATGCAGAATTGTGGGGTGCAAGGTCAGTGTATAAAAGTCAGTTGTTTTCTGTACATGAGCTAGGAACAATTAAATTTGAGATTTTGTATAAAAGATACCATATATAGTAGCATCAAAAATTAAAATAATATGGATAATTTTGTCCAAAAATGTGTAAGACTTTCAACTATTAATATAAAACATTTCATTACTGACAGAAGTTAAAGAAGACATGATTAATGGAGATATATCACGTTCATGATATATCTGATATATATATCAGGTATATGATACCATGACTTAACAGTTGTCAGTTCTCCCAAATTAATCCATAGATTCAATTCAGTTCCAATCAAAATCCAAATAAAATTTGATAGAACTTGACAAACTAATTCTAAAATGTATATGAATATGGAGAGGACCTAGAATATCAAAACAGCTTTGAAAAAAAACAAAGTAGGACAAACACTACCTAATTACAAGACAGTGTTGTAGTGGCATAAAGCTAGACAAGCAGATCAGTGGAACAAAGTGAAATAAGTGTATAATACCTATTTATGGTCAGTTGGTTTTCTGCAGAGATGTTAGGGCAATACAATTGAAAAACTATAATCTTTTCCACAAATGGTGCTAAAATGATTAAATAGCCATATGAGACAAATGAATGTCTTCCCCTAGCTCACGTTATATGTAAAAATAAACTTGAAGGGGATAATAGACTCATAAAAGCTGAGAGTAGAAAACTTAAGAAAAACATAGGTGAAAATTTTAGTGACCTTGTGTTTGACAAGTTTTTAACAAAATGTGAATTATTTATTAAAAATTAATAAATTGACTTTATAAAAATTAAGCACTTGCCTTTCAAGAGATACTATTACAAAACTAAAAAGGCAAGCCACAGACTGGAAGAATACATTTGTACAACATATATCCATAAAAGTTCTTGAATCTGTACTTTATAAAGTACTCTTGAACTTACTACTAAGAAGGCAACCCAGTGGGAAAATGAACAAAAATTTCTTGACAGACCTTTTACCAAAGAAAATATAGTCCACCAGTAGCACATTAAAAAGGTGTTCTATATCATTAATCATTAGGGAAATGCAAATTAAAAGCATAGAAATATGCACTACATACCTAGTAAAATGTGTAAAATAAGACTGATCATATCAAGTGTTAGTGAGGATGTGGAGGAAGTAGAAGTCTCCATAGCCTATTGGTGACAACATAAAATGGAACAACCAAACTTGGAAAAGTTTGGCAGTTTCTAAAGAAGTTAACCATTCAATCCAGCTATTCTACTTCCAGGAATTTACTCAGGAAATGAAAGTATATGTCCACACAGACTTAAGCACAGGTAATCTTAACAGTTTTATTTGTAATGGCCAGAAACTGGAAGCAACCCAAATGTCCATCAAGTGAATGAATAAACAAATTGTGATGTGGCCATATAATGATACTACTCAGCAGCAAAAATGAACTATTGATAAATAGCAGTAGCATGGATGAATCATAAAATAATTGTGCTGAGTGAAAAAAGACACAAAATTGTATGTACTGTGTAATTCTTTTCTAATAAATGTAAACTATAGTGACAAAAAAGAACAGTGGTTGCCTAGTTATAGAGTAAGGGATTGGGGAGGAGAGGGAATGAGAAATCAGAAAGGAGCGCAGGTAAACTATTGGGTGGGGTGGCTCTATCCATTGTACTGATGTATTGACTTACATTTGTATACAGCACAATACTCATCAAATTGTATACTATAAAAATTACAGTTTATTGTGTATCAGTTATACCTCAGTGAAATTGTAAAATGTATTGCAAAAATCATTGGAATACCTGTAGACTAACAAGAGTCTTTGACTCTCAGATTCTGATATTCTGTGTAAAATTGGTAGCCTTGATGAAAGGGTCCCAGAAACAGTGTTTAAAATGGGATATGGGAACAGATTCTTCAGTTTTAAGCAACCACAGAAACCCAAATTGGGAAGACCCAGAACTTAAGATCTCCTTTGTGATGCTGCTGTAGCTCAGTAATTCTGAAGCAGTTTGCTGTATCCCACCTTGCCTTGCTAGATAAAAGCCATTAAGGAATAATTTAGATCAAAAGTCACATAGTATTTTTGCTGTTCAGTTGCTAAGTCGTGTCCAAATCTTTGCAACCCCAAGAACTGCAGTGCGCCAGGCTTCCCTGTCTTTTAGTATGTCCCAGAGTTTGCTCAGACTCTTGTCCATTGAGTCGGTGATGCCATCCAACCATCTCATGCTCTGTTGCCCCCTTCTCCTCCTGTCCTCAGTCTTTCCCAGCATCAGTCTTTTTCAGTGAGTGGGCTGTTTGCATCAGGTGGCCAAAGTATTGGAGCTTCAACTTCAGAGTCAGTCCTTCCAATGAATATCCAGGGTCAATTTCCTTTAGGATTAACTGGTTTGATCTCCTTGCAGTTCAAGGGACTCTCAAGAGTCTTCTCCAACACCCCAATTCAAAAGCCTCAATTCTTTGGAGATCAGCCTTCTTTATGGTCCAACTCTCACATCTGTACATGACTACAGGAAAAACCATAGCTTTGACTACATGGACCTCTGTCAGCAAAGTAATGTCTTTACTTTTTAATACGCTGTCTGGGTTTGTCATAGCTTTTCTTCCAAGGAGCAAGCATCTTTTAATTTCATGGCTACGGTCAACTATCTGCAGTGATTTTGGAGCCCAGGAAAATAAAATTTGCCACTGTTACCATTTTTTCCCTGTTTGCCATGAGGTGATGGGACCAGATGCCATGGCCTTTGTTTTTTGAATGTTGAGTTTTAAGCCAGATTTTTCACTCATCTTTTTCACCCTCATCAAGAGATTCTTTAGTTCCTCTTCGCTTTCTGCCTTTATTTAGTGGTATCATCTGCCTATCTGAGGTTTTTGATATTTCTCCTGGAAGTCTTGTTTCCAGCTTACGATTTGTCCAGCCTAGTATTTTGGATGATGTACTCTGCATAGAAATTAAATAAGCAGGATGATGATATACAGCCTTGATGTACTCCTTTCCCAATTTTGAAGCAGCCTATTGTTCCATGTCCGGTTCTAACTGTTGCTTCCTGACCTGCATGCAGGTTTCCCAGGAGGCAGGTAAGGTGGTCTGGTATTCCCATCTCTTTAAGAACTTTTGACAGTTTGTTGTGATCCACATAGTCAAAGGCTTTCACAGTCAGTGAAGCAGAAGGAGATGTTTTTCTGGAATTTCCTTGCTTTTTCTATGATCCAATGTATGTTGGCAATTTGATCTCTGGTTCCTCTGCCTTTTTAAAATCCAGTTTGTGCATCTGAAAGTTATGGGTTAACATACTGTTGGACCTAATTTGAAGAATTTTGAGCATTACTATGCTAGCATGTGAGATGAGTGCGGCTGTGCAGTAATTTAAACATTCTTTGGCATTGCCCTTCTTTGGGACTGGAATGAAAACTTTTTCAGTCCTGTGTCAGTTGCTGAGTTTCCCAGATTTGCTGGCATAATAAGTGCAGCACTAACAGCATCATCTTTTAGGATTTGAAATAACTGAGCTGGAATTCCATCACTTCCCCTAGCTTTGTTTGTAGTAATGCTTCCTAAGGCCCACTTAACTTCATGCTCCAGAATGTCCGGCTCTAGATGAGTGACCACACCATTTTGGTTATCCGGGACATTAGACCTTTTTTCTTTAGCTCTTCTGTGTGGTCTTGCCACCTCTTCTTAATCTCTTCTGCTTGTGTTAGGTCCTTGCTATTTCTGTCCTTTATCATGCCCATCTTTCCATGAAATGTTCCCTTGGTATCTCCAATTTTCTTGAAAAGATCTCTAGTCTTTCATTCTTCTGTTTTCATCTATTTCTTTGCCTTGTTCACTTAAGAAAGCTTTCTTTTCTTACCTTACTATTCTGGAAATCTGCATCCAGATGGATGTATCTTTCTCTTTCTCCTTTGCCTTTTGCTTCTTTTCTTTTCTCAGCTGTGTGTAAAGCTTCCTCAGACAACCATTTTGCCTTCTTGCATTTCTTTTTCTTTGGGATGGTTTTGGTCATCACCTCCCGTACAGTATTACAAACCTCTGTCCATAGTTCTTCAGGCACTCTGTCTACCAAATCTAATCCCTTGAATCTATTTGTCACTTCCACTGTATAAACATAAGGGATTTGATTTAGGTCATACCTGAATGGTCTAGTGGTTTTCCCTACTTTCTTCAGTCTGAGCCTGAATTTTGCAATAAGGAGCTCATGATCTGAGCCACAGTCACTTCCAGGTCCTGTTTTTGCTGACTATATTAGAGCTTCTCTATCTTTGGCTGCAAATAATAGAATCAGTCTGATTTCGGTATTGACCATCTGGTGATGTCCACGTGTAGAGTCATTTCTTGCATTGTTGGAAGAGGGTGCTTGCTATGACCAGTGTTCTCTTGGCAAAACTCTGTTAGCCTTTGCCCTGTTTCGTTTTGTACTCCAGGGACAAATTTGCCTGTTCAGACTAGGTAAATATGTAAGAGACAAAGTAGAGATTAGTAGTTACCAGGGGATTCAGGGGAGGGGAATGAAGAATGATTACTTAATAAGTATGGCATGTTTTTCTGGTGTGATGAAGTTTTTAAACTAGTGAGAGGTGGTGATGGAAGAATTTTACACTTGAAAATTGCTAATTGTGTACATTGTGAATTTCACCTCAATAAAAAACAGATCATAGGGACCTGAAAAACGTCAATGTGGAATATAGAATGGATTGTAAATATGATAAATGGGTAAGGTAAACTTTCTTGAGGCAGCAAAGCAGATAGATGTAGTTGGTAGATGAGCGCTCACAGATAAGTGCAGTGAACCACTCTTCCTCCAGAGTGACTCAGTTACAGAAAACCCTAGAAAATAATTCTGAAAATTATATCTTCTTTTCCATATTGATTATTATAGACTGTAGTGAAAAGGATGACATTTCAAATCTGAAAACCTGATTTTAAGGTCCAATTCTCACACTTTTTATCCTTAGCTGTGATTATTATGTTTGCTGCTGCTGCTAAGGCACTTCAGTCGTGTCCGACTCTGTGCGACCCCATCCCCCGTCCCTGGGATTCTCCAGGCAAGAACACTGGAGTGGGTTGCCATTTCCTTCTCCAATGCATAAAAGTGAAAAGTGAAAGTGAAGTCGCTCAGTCATGTCTGACTCTTCGCGACCCCATGGACTGCAGCCTACCAGGCTCCTCCGTCCATGGTATTTTCCAGGCAAGAGTACTGGAGTGGGGTGTAGATTATTATGTTTAGAAATACTGTAAAAAATTATATACTCCGAACTATAGCCAGGTTGTGACTAAGGGTTCTAAAGTCCAGTCACCTCTGAGCAAGCATGTTGATGCATATGGGGTAGTCTGCTGGAGTCTAGAAGATCACAAAGCAGACCTCACTGGAGAGAGGAAAGTTGAAATATGACTGATACATGTTAGCATATCACTGAGAGGTGTGTTCTGGTGTGGGCCTCTCTATGTGCTGGATGAAGTGACCCTTAAGACTACCTTTAGCTTTGATTTGTTTCTTTTAAGCAACCCATAGGGCATAGCTTCTCACGTGCCCTGGCGTTGGCAGGGAGCTGCTCTGGAATGAATTCTAATTTTATCAAATACAAATACTGTAAGTTAATACATTGACGTTGATCATTTCCAAGTCTGGTGAGCATCAGGGATTCTGGATGCCCTGTCTGATGTAGTCCTAGATCCCAGACTGTGGTGATCTTTTCCAAGGAACCCTTTATCAAGGGCTTCACTTCACTGAATGGAATCTTTATCTCATTTCTCCTAACCTTTATAGAATTTTGTTAGGGATGAGTGAGAGCAAAATAAGAGTACAAATGCTATTATTTGTTTTAGGGCTATCCAGTGATCTGTATGTCCTTGGCGCGCACACACACAAAAACAAAAACCAAACCATAAGGGTCTTATGACCCAGCCAGTCCTTTTGTCTGCTTTGAACTCACCTTTGCCTTTCAGGTCCTTAGTCACTTAGGACTGCTAAGTCACATCTTAGAAGAAAATGAAACTAGGAGGTGGTTTGTTTATGTCCTGAGCCTTGTTCAAAATGCATGTCTATAGACAGCTCCCCAAATCCTGGGTCTATGAGAGAATTGGTGCTAATTAAGAGCAGGAGGACCCAAACCCCCATACTGGACTGAGTCTCAGTGAATCTCTCACTGGATTCTGGTCTGAGCCGCTCCTGGAAAACTCCCAGCCAACATTGTCTTGAACTATTGACCCTTGTGTGTGAAGCCCATAATTTTTATTCAAGGCTACAGCTATACTGATTGATATTCTAGTTACCTTAGAGTATAAGGTCACACGGAATAGAGGCAATAGAAAAGTGATATTCTCTTCATGTTTGAATTTATCTCTTTACAGGGAAACTTAAAAATATATATAGATCCTAGGTGTGCTAAATGCTCTAAGAAAATCTGTGTCTAGGATATCTTTGAAATGAAATTGCCTCGGCTGTTGTGCCATAGGTTTTCTGCCACTTGCAGAAGCCCAGTGTTGGTGCTTCAGGACACAGGAGATGAAGGGCCCTCTCTGACTCTCACTGTGTTCCCGTAGAAACGCTATGTGCTGGAGGAAGCTGAGCAGCTGGAGCCGCGGGTTAGCGCTCTGGAGGAAGACATGGATGACGTGGAGTCCAGTGAAGAGGAGGAAGAGGAGGATGAGAAGGTGAGGCACCTGGGAGCTGGAGGGTTGCAGGAGGGAGAATTACAGGGAATGGGAATGTCTTTTTTGTTTTGTTTTCAAACTTTATTTAATTTTAACCAAAAAAGAAAAACCCCAAAATACAGTATTTCATCATTGAGAGTGTGGGTCCTGGAGTTAAATGGACTTGATCCGTATCTCAGCTCTCCTGTTTACTACTGCATTATGTTATGTAAATTACATAATCTCCATTTTCTTTTCTATAAAGCAAAGATTATGATACCTTTCTTTTAGGACTTTTATGAGTATTAAATGAAATTACATACATAAAGCCCTTAGCTTTGGGACATTATAATTACATAATAAGTGGTAGCTATTAAATACGTGGGATAAAAATAATACTGATCATAAATGAATGCATACTAAGAAGTAAACCTAGTTTAGGGAAATAAAAACCTACTGCATAGTCATGTTCTTCCACTATTTGTTAAAATGCTAAAAACTTGAAAACAAGCAAATTGTCAGGGAGCAGTCAGGTAAACTATTGCTAACAATTCAACAGAGTATTAGGCCACCATTAGAAGTATCATGAAAAGTAACTGAACTTCCTTGGAGGTCCAGTGGGTAAGACTCCATGCATCCGCTGTGGGGCAGGGTGGCATGGAGAACTAAGATCCTGCATGCCACTTGGTGCAGCCAGAAAAAAAATGTATGTGATAACGTGGAAACGATTACAGTAAGCTTTGTGTTTTTTTGTTTTTCTTTTAAAGATTTAAAACATTTGTGATTAAAATTATATGTGTAAAAAAGCTAGGGGGAAATATAAGACATCTGGCCTGTAGATACTGAGGTAGTGCAGATGAAAGGGTAGCTCTGAGCTTAGTAGACTCCATTTAAGATAAGTGCTAAGGGAAGCACAGTCATTCATGAATGGAAAGCCAGGCACGGCTGAGGGGCTTTTCTGTGGTGAGTGAACCAAAAATATGCATTCTTTTTAATGGAAAATTTAATCACATACCAAAATGGAGAGAATAAACCTCCATTTACCCATCACCTAGCTTCAACAGTGATCAGCTCAGCTATTTTGTTTCCTCCATATCTACTCAGTTCTCCTTCACCAGTTATCTCAAAGCAGATCACAGCCATCATATATCTCATATTTCAGAAAAAAAACACGGACCCCTTTTTAAGGCACAGCCATATACCATCATCAGCCCTTAAGTCAGTGGTTCCTTAATATTAAAATGTCAGGTCATAACATTCTTACAAATTTTCATAATCTCTGTTTTTGTGATTGTGTCCCTGTGGTATCACTTAACGTGTTCATTTGTCTATTTTATTTTCTGTTAACTAGTTCTTGAGTCTTTAATTGGATTTGGGGTTTTTGGAGTAGAGAAACACTACTTCATAGGTATAGTGTACTTCCTCCAGGATGAACAGTCTGCTCTCTTTTTATAATATTAGGATCCACTGATGATCTCTGCATAGACCCATTAAGGATTGTAAAATAATGATATTTTTTAAAAACCTCCCAAATCAACATTGATTTTCATAAAGTTTATATAAGAAAAGCAGGATAAATTATTTATTTCCCTTTGTCAGTTTTTAAAATCATGAGTTGATTTTATAGTATTCTCCTAAGAAGGTATGCCCTTGGTAACATTTGAATTTATCAATTTAAGTATATTTGCTGTTCTGGACCATTGTTGTCCTTGTTGATGCTGAAATTGTCCTATGTCTGGCCAGTGGGGGCCCCTCAACTTCACTTTTGGATACAATCCTAGTAGTTTCAGCCCCTCGCTATCTGATACAATGATATGTTCTAGGTATGTCTTGTTATATTCTCTCCTGGACCTAAAAGTAGCCATTTTTCCAAGAAGGTCTTAGTTCCATTAATTGAGATATGTTATTTAGAGACCACAATCTGGGCTCATTGCTACATGGTATTTCTAGGACTTTACAGTTGATAAAGCTAAAGGAAAAAGAAATTTTAAGCTTAAAATACACTGCATTTAACCTCATCAGTTTTACATCTCTATCTCTCTTTCACATTAGAAATCCAACTTCTTAGGAAATAAGCATACTTAGCTGTCATTACTCTTACATAGCTCCAGAATAATGGTACCAGCACTAGAAGAGTAACGGGATTATTAGAAAGATTTTAATTTTTTTACTTGGTAGTGGGTTTTTTTGTCCTTAGTGTTATCCCATATATATTCAAATTACTGTGTTTTAAAGTCAATTGGAGGTGGAATTTGGGATGGGATGGGAAGGAGGGTACAAGCCATGTTCCTAGTTGGCTCTCTATCAGCCTGTGCTCATCACTGACCCAGGCCATCTCTTCTCCAGTTGGAAAGAGTGCCATCACCTGATCATCGCCGGAGAAGCTACCGAGACTTGGACAAACCCCGTCGCTCTCCCACACTACGCTATCGGAGGAGTAGGAGTCGGTCTCCCAGAAGGTAAGGCCTTAGTCATTGGCATCTTCCAGGGATACTTTAAGCACTAGAGTGTAGAAGTTTGGACTTCATGGAAGGAAAATGCTAACCTCTGGAGAATGTGTGCTCGCCAATGTATTAATTGCTACAAAAACACCACCCACGAAACCTCAATGGCAAACATTGTAATTCACAGGTCTGTGGCCAGTGATTTAATCTGGGCTTAGGCAGTTTTTGAGTATAAGCTATGGTCAGTCACTTGTTTTGCAATATTCTCTGTTGGCTAGTGTAGGTGGCCTTAGCTAGGATGACTGGAGCAGCTCATCTCTATGTCACATTCTAGGCTAGGTTAGGCCTGTTCCCATGGTAGTGGCAGAATGCAAGACTGAACAAGCCCAACCATGCAAGTAATCTTTGTAGCATCTGCATCACATGTACAAATACCCCTTTGGCCAAAGCAAGTCACATGGCCAATCCCAGACTTCGGAGTCAGAGGGTCTTAAAGTTACATGACAAAGGACATGGATAACAGAGTTGGGTTAAGAATTGGGGCAATTTTTGCAATTTACAGTGTCCAGGGCACCTACTAAGGTTCTTCTTTCTCTTTTTTCTTTCCGTATAGGCGGAGTCGATCTCCCAAAAGGAGGAGGTAGGCCTTAATGACTTGTAATGAAGGGTAGAGATTTTGGGGAGGGGGGGTGTTGTTGTGTTTATGTGTCAGGACAGATATGGGAGTCTGACCAGTCATTTCCACAGCCCCTCCCCTCGCCGAGAACGGCATCGGAGCAAGAGCCCAAGACGTCATCGCAGCAGGTCCCGAGACAGGCGGCACAGATCCCGTTCCAAGTCCCCAGGTACAGCACTGGGGCCTTTTGCTTGCTGTTGGTTGTCTTAATAAAGAAATGTAATAGGAGCAATTAGCCTCCTGCAGTACAGGAGTACCTTACTCCATTACTGCCTAGAAAATTAGAGTTCACATTTTAACTGTCATTTACCAGCTTTGTTGATAGGATGGTGAGCTTCAGTTTTCCTCTGAAATTATAGGAGTAAGACATGACAGAGTAGTGGTAAATACCCAGTGTGATGTTAGTGAAATTTAGCCATAAAGCCCTGAAGGCTAAGTGGGTTCAGTTCTTCGCTACCAACAAGGTGTCCCTATCACAAGCCAAAAATGAAAGGAACTAGGGGAAATAACAGCAGAGAGTATGAGGGTAGAAACTGGTACACTGAACAGCCTTTTTTCTTCTCCAGGTCATCACCGCAGTCACAGACACAGGAGCCACTCAAAATCTCCTGAAAGGTATGGGTTAACTTCTGTTCTGACTGAAATCTTTATTCACAAATTAAAGTCCCAATTACATCTCAGTTGGACTTGAAATTGTATATAATCTCCATCAATACAATTTAGGAATTCTCCTTAATTATAGGACGAAGTGGTCTCTTGCCCTGAAAATTACTAGAATTTTATGTGTGTATGTATATATATAGTTATTTTGTTTTTCCTGTAGGATTGCAGTTTTGAAAAGGCATGAGCCTTAATCTCAGGAGACCTGGGATTCCGTCCCAGCTTTTAAGATTTTTAAAATACATTTACTTCTGGCCACACTGGGCCTTCTTTGCTGGCTGGGCCCCGTCTAGCTATGGCGAGTGAAAAGCCGTGGTGTGGGCCTCTCGCTGCAGTGACCCCTCCAGGCTCTAGGGCTCATGGGCTCAGTCAGTAGTTGCAGTACACAGGTGTAGCTGCCCCACAGCACGTGGGATCCTCCTGGACCAAAGATTGAACCCGTGTCCCCCACACTGGCAGGCAGATTCCTAACTACAGGACCACTAGGGAAGTCCCAGTCCCAATTTTTAATACTTAGCAGTTGAGTGACATTGGATAAGTCATTTTCATTTGGTAAGCTTCCATTAGATACCTCTAGATACTGTACACTGTTGGAAGCACTCCATCTCTCAGAGGTCATTTCTTCAATGGTGAATTTTGGAGAGTAATGCGTAACTCATTGTTGCTTTTAAATATAAAAACACCAAGTACTTTTAATGAACATTGACTGTCTTCTCTGTCCCCATCAGTGTTAGCATGTATCAGTCTTTCTCAAAAATCCTTGCTCAGCTCCTAAAACAGCTGGTAAATTTAATGATTTGTATGTGTCACCATTTCAGGTCTAAGAAAAGCCACAAGAAGAGCCGGAGAGGGAATGAGTAATGGACATAGTTTGGTTTTAATACAAGTGGCCTTCTGTGGAGACGAAGGCATATGTCTACGTGGAAGAAAGACCTACTCAGTCCCAGGCAGCTATGAGCGTATTTTAGATTTTTTTTTAAACCAAGTTTTCTTCACTTTCTTTTTTTTTTTTTTAACATGAAAGAGGTACTGAGTTTTGTATCTCTTCATGAATTGTACGTAATCCACACATTTGAAAGATAATGCTTCCTGAACTGAGAGCTGCTTTTGGCCTCTTTGTACAATCACCTTAAGGGGATAATGTGGCCCCCTTGTTATTTTTGTTATTAAATTTGACACAACCATTTCCTGTTTTTCTGTGGTTTTAGTTTCGGTTTACACTGAGATTAGAACTGCTTTGAGAATTCTGAGATATGTGCTACTGCTTGCTGTTCAGTAAAAAAAAAAAAAGGTGGTAAAATATATTAGCTCTAGGTTTTACTTCCAGCAGCAGCAAATGGTAATAAACATGAAAACTGACCTGTTATCAGCAGCTTTATAATAATTCAGTTGTAAGGCTTTTTCTGGATCATTTAATCTAGTTGCATCGTTCAACAAACAGTAAAACTTGACACCTGTTACATAGCATTACTGTATAGTGTTGTTTCTTCTTCCCTATAGCCTTGAATTCCAAATTGAGGTGCTCAGCACCTTTATGCTGTGATAATTGGTATTAGCAAGACTAGGCAATAGCAGTAGGGCAACCAGGGTGAAAACATTCAATGGAGAGAAAAATACCTGATGCCACCTAAGGTTTTAACCTGAGTTACTGGACAACAGCACCATTCACAAAACCAGAAAATACAGCAGGAAGAGACCAGGCTTTAGAGGAGCAGGTAGTGAGAATTGCGGTAGTAGGGAGAAAAGAATGCATTCAGCTTAACTTGAAGTTTACTTTGAGACAGCTATGGTATGTCTAGATAAAGCCCAGACATTATAAATAAGAACTGGAGTTGAGCTAGTTATCTGACCCTGAATTGACAATGTTTAGGTAATTGTAGTAGGTGTAGAATTGAATGCAATGCCCAGGGAGCATACATTTGTAAGGAAAACCAGTAGTAGAATCATAAGCAACACTCACACTGTTGAGGAAGAAGTGCAAACATTGATTGAAAATTGAAATGAATCATTTCAGAAAGGTAGAGGAAATAGGAGAGAGTGGGTTAAGGAAGCTAAGGACAAAGAAGCAAAATAAGGATTAAATAGTGCCCATGGATATTGATAATCAAGAGGGTGTTGGATCTTTGCTAGAGGAGTTCTCTCTACCTGTACTTACCTTTCCTCCTTTAAAATGGGAAAAAATAATTGATTTCCTGCAGCTCTGCCCCTGGCAACAATTGTGAAGACAAACTGCCTCACAGGATCCAGTTTCTTGGGAAGTCATATCTAGTCATAGGCTAAACATCCTATTACTTGTTGAACTTAAGGACTTTTGCATCAATATTAAAGCATTTGGGGATCATATTTGGAGATTTCATGTTCTTCAATAATTGCTCTCCTGATAATATTTGAGCTAATAAAATCATAAGGGTTATTATGGTTCATCATACAACTATATATAGGACTGTCTTTAAAAGTTAAATGTAAGCACCTCTATTTGTATCTGTTATAGAGAGTCCTAGCAGTTATTTCTTTTATCAAAGTGTTCTAAATGGGAAGAAAAAAGTGTATTCTGGCTGAACGACCTATGGACCAACCAAGTTATCATCCAGTATATTAGTTTTAAAAGTATATTTTTAAAGTATAAAAATGTAGAAACCCACCCTAAACCCCAGTAATATTTAATACCAAAAATAAACCTTCCCAAGCATAAACTACAAACTTAAAGCCTACTTGAGAGTGGGACATGTCAAACCTCTCTCTCTGGAGATCACTTTCGATAAACTACAGAATTGTAGAGCAGATGAATTTAGGACAAACCTTGCTGAAGGACCATTTCTGTCATCTGTGTGCTAGCCTACTGCATGAGTGAGGCCTTGGAACTAAAGATTTACAACTTTCTTTGGCCTGTATTGAGACATATTTTGCATCTTACCTCTATACTTATACATACTCTGCACTAAAACAGATTTTAAGAAAATATTCCTTATGCAAAATACATTCTGATATTTCTATGCATTATCAGTTTTACCATTGGGTGTACAACCACTAAATTGTTTATACTCCCCACAATTTGAATTATACTGCTTTAAAAGCTTTGCCATTGGGCATGACAACATTTTAATACTAAAGAATGGGCAAAGGAAACAGTGGATTTGGTGAGAGGCTTCCAATGTAACAACCCAACAAAGTTCATTCCTCTAGCCCCTTTCCATTATTTTTGGCAGATCTAAGTTTAATTAAGCACTAATCAGAAAAGAATGCTCACATGCTGGTCATTCTGAGCCAAAAAAGGAACAAGTTTCTACAGATTCAAAAAAGGTAAAATGATCTGTTTTCTTAAAATACAAGTTCAAAGAGATTAAAAGATAAGAGGTGGAAAGTAAGCATGGCAGAGCTTGAAGAAATGAAGATTTGAAAACTGAAAATGAAAGCCTCACAAAATGCAAAATAGACAAGGCACAGAGAAAACAGACTGGAGGAAATAAAAAATGGGAAAAGCTGTAGAGATAAAAAGATATGGAAAGAAATCTTGCCTATGATTAACTGATATTTCTGATAAAGAGAACTGAGCAAATCAACTTAAATTCAAACAGAAGAAAAATCACCTTGATTTAAAGAGATAAAGAATTATATGGGTACCCAAGCAGAGAAATCAAGTCATGTATAGTGAAGGAAAGGATCAGGATGGCTTCAAGTCTCCATTAAGGCAGTGAAGCAAAAGGCTCCAAAGGTGTAAGGAAATGTGTGCCAGGAACTTTATACCCAGCCCGAGTTGTCCTTAAAATATAAAGGGAATAGACATTCTTAAGTATGCAAGTACTTATAAGCATACAACCACTTGGGGAAAAAACTGCCTAATGTTACTGAACAAGAAATGAATCAAATTAAGGACTTAGGGGAAAAAAAGTAGTAAAAGAAATGGCAGTAAACACTTTAGAAATTTTAAGTAAAAATAATGGGAAATCATTAAGACAAATGAAATATTTGAACACTGCAGAAATAATGTAAGCAGGAAGTAGAACTCATTTTATGACGAGTCATACGATCTCTAAAACATACATGAAGCTGGAAAAAAAAAAAAAAACTCCAGCCTCTCTAATGTTCTCTATACTTGTCCTTAATTTTAGGAGTCTTTAGAACTAGATTCTCTTGTAGAAAAAATTTTTTTGTAAGTTGAAAATTTCACATTTTTTTCTTTGGTTAAATTGAAGTAAAATTAATTTGCTATATGTACTAAATACAGCATATGAAACCACTTTTGTAAAACTTGTCCTATGTATGTGTAACTATATATATGATACATGTATATTAAAGAGATGGTTTGAAAGAATGAAATTCACTGGATATTAATAGTATTTCTGGTTTATGGAATTTTTAGTGATTTTTATACTGTTATTTAATGCTCTTTTTGTAATAAACAGATTATCCTTTACAAGGAAAAATTGTGTTTGGCGTTTAGGGCTTTTTTATAAGCTTACCAACACATTTTATATATTGTTTATTGGAATTGCAAGTTAGTAACCACTTTTCAGCAATACAGCAATTTTGTAATATGTAGCTTCCCAGGTGGCGCTAGTGGTAAAGAACCTGCCAATGTCAGTGCAGGAGGCGTAACAGACATGGGTTAGATCCTTCCGTCCAGAAGATCCCCGGGAGCAGAGAAGGCAACCCACTCCAGTACTCCTGCCTGGAAAATCCTGGGGACGCAGGGGCCCTAAGGGCTACAGTCCACGCAGTCCCAAAGAGCTGGACACAATGAAGCGACTTGGCAGAGCACAGCAGGAACCTTTGAACCTTTATCCTTTTTATCTAATAATACCATTTATAAGAATTCACCGTAATAAAATACAGTTGATCTTTGAATAATGTGAGTTTGAACTGCATGAGTCCACTTGTTTGCAGTTTTTTTCCCCAATAAACATTACAGTTCTACATGATCAAAAATTGGCTGAATCTACAGATGTGGATATGGAGGGCCAGCTATGGGATTTGAGCACCTGGGGATCTTGGTATCTGCCACAGATCCTGGAACCAATTCTCTGTGGATACTGAGAGCTGCCTATAACCAAACACAAGAGCAGCCTATTCTATCATCATTTTACATATATATTTTATAAATGAGAAGAGCTGGAAACAGCAGAAATGTCTATCTACAGGGGACTGAATGAATATATAATATGTTATTGTTCATATTTTTTAATAACCTAGTGACAAGGGAAAATGTTAATTACTCCATGTGATTAAACACTATACAAAAATTTCAAAGCAATGTGATCTTAAGCATGTGTGTATGTGTATTCTCTGCAGAAGACTGAATTTCAGACTTTTCAGTTGATCTACAAGAGATTTGAATTCATAATTTTATAGTTTATATGAAAAGTCTGTACATTTTAAAACTTATCTACTACCACATAAATTACAAACTTAAGTTTTCTATTTTTCAACTTGAACATTTCTACAGTTGAATACTAGCAATTACTGAAGGAGGGACAAGTGAGATGCCGGAAATTACTACATAGGAACACTGTTATAGAAGTAAAACTTTAAAAAAAAAAAAAAAAGAAGTAAAACTTAGGTGACTGGGGTTTATTGCCCCATAAATACCTTTTGCCAGATGGCATACTACCTACCTTTGAGACAGAAGGCTGAGCTGGGGCAGTCTCTTGTATATTAATTTTGGGGGCAAGAGGTGCTGCACTGCACAGCTTTTGGCATTTTAGCTCCCCGTCCAAGGATTGAACCCAGGCCCTTGGCAGTGCGAGTGCACAGTCTTAACCACTGGACCACCAGGGAATTCCCAAATCATTTTCTTTTTAATGAATAATTAAAATATGTACAAAAGTAGAACAGAAAAACCAGCACTCTATTCTCTAAGACCT